ATTATAAGTAAATACTATAGCATTGCTGCTACACCAGCTAGTGGCCATGGCTGAGGGGGAGGAGCGGTTGTTCTTCAACTAGAAGATTGGTTGTTTGATCCCTGTCTTTTGCCCGCCATGGTGTCCTTGGGCAAGCTACTGAATCCCAAAAATGGACCCTTCTGATAGAGACAGTGCTAAATTTAGATGCACTGAATATGTGTGTGAATTTCTGAATGGCAAAAACTGTTCTGTAAAGTGCTTTGAGTGGTCATCGAGACTATTCTATATACAAGTTCTATATAAATAAAGACCCATTTCGTAGACTTTGAAGTTGCAGCAGAAGATAGCAGCCCTCAGGTTTAATATCGATTAACAAGGCTTAATTATCCAAATCATATTGTGATAAGTAGTGAGGCAATTTCATTTAAATAAATTGTCATTGTTAAGAGATGGCCAAGCAATGTGTAACTTTACTGCTGACCATTCTGGACACCATAATGTTCACACAATGTTTTATAAAAATAAGTTCAACTATAATTATCTGTCCATATCCAAATAATTAAGAATGCCCAGCCCTGTTCATGTGGAATATGTAGGGTGGAGAGATCTCTCATGGTTTATACATGTAACCTTTAATAATGTTTAGTTTCTGTTGTCTTCTGATATGTTGGCTGCATGTTTACCTGTAGCTTCTAAGCAGACGGAGATGTTTTGGGTTGATGCCTGATGCTCTGGCTACCTTCAAGAGATGAATCCGACGATGAGACACACCCAAAACCTGAGCATCCCCACTGTCTGACTGCAATAACAACATACATAGATATTAGTATTTTACCATTACCATACCATTTAATACTTGTAAATGGCCACTTTATCACTACTACTTTATCACAACTACTGCTACTTCTACTACTCCTGCTATTTTTTTGCAAACTGATTTAAGCGATTTAAATTTAGCACAAACAATAACTAGTACTCAAAGATTCAATAGTTTGATTTTGGTTGCCAAATGTCAGAAGTCAAGGTCACAGTGGCCACACAATTTTTTTTTTTCTCGAACTTGATATCTTAAATCAATAGATAAGCTTGAGGGAATGGCTTCAAATTTGGTACCAACATTTATTTGGACTTTAAGATGAACTATATATATATCAGAAATGCCCAAAGGGAATTTCATTATATCGGGCACAAATATTTACTTGGACTCAAAGATGACATGAATTCAAATGTATTATCGAAGACAAAGGTCACTGCAGCCTCACAAAGCTCAGTATTTGCCTTGTGAATGCAATATCTCTGGAAACATCTTGAGGGAATCGTTTCACATTGTGCACAAACATTCACTTGAACTTGGATTTCCTTTTGCTAGCCAAAGGTCAACGTTATGGTGGCCTCACAAAGCATCTATGTTTTTCTTGAACATAATATCTTAACATCAGCATGAGAGAATGTCTTCAAATTCTGTAAAAACATTAATCTGCACCCAAAGATGAACTGATTAGATTTTGGTGCCTAAAGGTCAAAGTCACAGTGAACTCAAGTCCCTCTGAATGTGAGCTATCAGGACTGCCTGTAGGAAATTTCATTACATCTGGCACAATTTGCTTTTCACAATGACCTGATTTGAGTTTGGTGGTCAAAGGTCTAAGGTCACTGTGACCTCTTAAACAAATGTTCTACATTGTGAATGTAATATCCCAGGAACATCTCACAGGAATTCATTCACATTTGGCACACATGCTCACTTGGACTCACTGAATAAACTGATTCATTGTGAAAAAGATGGAAACCTAAAACAGCCATTTTTACATCAACTGTGGCTTGATTGCATTTTCTTACTCCAAATTGAAAACGTGCTGTTGTGCTGTGGCTTTGATTGATAAGTTGCAGTTCCACACTTTTATTTCATTTATTGCATTTGGGTAACTTATAAATTACTACTGTACTGCAACTGCTATAACTGTATTTCATTCATTGCTTTCATTTTAGTCGTAATTTCTTACTGTTTTTGAATGTTTTTTACCAATTTAAAACTTTTGAGTTGTTTCTGTATTTGAAATTATAAAATTATAGATACTGAGATGCTTAATACATACACATCTAAATCTAAAGAAAATCCCACATTATCCCAAGCTTTGCCTCAACTTACCTTCACAGGGAATAGTCGACTAAAGTAGTTTTCCCAGTTGTCTCGAGCAGCAATGACAATCCTTTTTTTCATGTTGTCATCCTGGATGGTGCTTATAGTCATTCCCACACTGAAATTTGCTACGAAACAAAATTAGATGTGATCCACTGCACGTGCACTGATATTTCATGTTTTGCCTTTGAATAACTCAAGGCAAATAGTTTTGGTTAACTTGTAACAAAACGTTTTATCCACATTTTAAAACTGAAGTATCCCACTCAAAAGTTATCTTTCAGAACTCCAAAACTCTCACCTAGCAAGTCCTTCATCTCCCTCTTTTCCTCTCTGCTGATCCTCACACAACTGTCTGAGTATGTGTCCCTCATGATCTGTTCAAGTGCAAGGGAGATAATTAGTTTTGAATTGAATGGTACTGTAGAATAATTGTGTAAACTACACCAACCTGTTCACATAAAAGATTGAGAACGTAGGGATGGTTGAACATCTCTCTAGGGTAAAACACCTGAAGACAAAAACATAATAATAATGGTTAGAGAAGCAGGCTTTAATAGGAGTACAGTTCAAAAGTCATGAGCATTAAAAAGGCATTATTGATTCATGTCTACAGATGTGTGCCCTTGTTGTTATTTGTGTTGTTGCAGGCGGCTAAAAACATTCCATAAATATGAATCTA